GGGCTTTTGGAATCTCTGGGAGCTGTTTCAAGACTTCGCTGGTCCGGTAATCTCTGGCTGCCAATGTGAGGTCCAGAACTCCAGAACGGCAACTGTGGCGGTGAACATGCTTCGCCTGGTGCCCAGCTGGACCTTCAGACAGTTTGTTGACAATGCCGCAACTCCGTCTCCAGGTTCGGTGTCGTACCGTATGTACACACAGCGTCAATATTCAGCCTGGCGCCCAACTCGGCTTTGCTTGCGGCGTTGTGATTTCACGCACGCTGGTTTGTCAACATGCCAGTGTTTACCATGTTGTCTTTCTGACAGCACCCATTTGCGGCAATTCATCTCAAGTGACATCATTGTGGAAGGGAGAGGAGGGGTGTTGCTTCAAATCCTGAATTTAAGTAAGTTAGCCTAGGCCTTTACTGTGGTAGTACACACCTGTGCTGCGATCCTCATCCCCAAATCTGAGAGATGATGAGGCCTGAATGTGATATCCAGTTGCAAGCCCCTATCCTCCTTCCATGCTAGGCCTGAAGACCAAAGCCTAAGGCTATGAATCCTACATATCAAACTTTTGGCTAAGCTTGCGGAATGCTATCAAGGCTGAAAGGTTTGAGGCTTCATGGCCTGTCAGGTTTGCAGTAACCGTTGAAGTAAGCTTCAGCGCGCTGAGTCATGGCGAAGAGTAAGAGCAGGACTCGGGTATCGCAACGCGATCTGCACAAAAGGGTGAAGCGTATGCTCCCAAAGGCTCGAACGCCATACATGCTTTATTATATGGAGAAGTTACCCGAGATCAAGTCGGAGTTGAAGAAGCAAAAGTTGTCAGGCCAGGAGCTCCACAGGGCCGCGGTGTCGGAGCTAGGCAAGAGGTGGAATGACCTGGGCCCAGAGCAGAAGGAACTGTGGCAGGAACGCTCCAAAGCTGAGTTTGACCACCGGCACGAAGCCACCCTGTCTATTGCATCGAAAAGTGAGCCCATGCCAGCAGTAATGAACAATTGTGTCAAAGTCGGCAACTGGGCATTGTCAGACGTCGTTATCTGGCAGGGCGCGCAGAGCACTGCATATGTGGCCACGCACTACTTGCTGTTGTCCGAAGCGCTGGCTGTACTGTACAAGGACCGTCGAGACTTTGATTCTGAGGTTGCAATGCTGAAAGAGTTGGAATCGGAGCGTGCCCGTGAGCGCAAGTGCTTGTTCCTGGGCATCGTCCAGGCGGTGGTCGAGAACAGTCCGCTTCACTGCATCATCTACCAGCCCCTGCCGGTCATTGAGGACTTGCTGAAGCAGGGAGGCTGGTCTGGCAGGAAGCTTGAAGTTGCTGGGAGGCAGCTCGCGCTTGCGCTGGACTTCCTGCACGTCGGCGTCGGAGTTTATCACTGCGACATACGTCCGAAGGCTGTCCACTGGTCAGATGTCGAAAAGTGCGTGAAGCTTAGCCACATGGGCTCAGTCCGTCGGTGTCAAGATTCCAGCAAGCTGGAGATGGCTCCGTATGTAGCCAACTACCGTGC